CAGGAAGAGAAGAACCTGATCTGTAACCCCATTAAATATCAGAGTGTGATAGTTTAAACTGGTCGGCTGACATTAGGGACCTGCGGCAAAATTCCAGCGACATAATTAAAAAAAAACGTCGAAGTGAATAAAAAACAGCTGTAACAAACACAACACTAATAATCAGTGGTTACAGATCAGGGTCTTCGCTTCCTGTCTTTGCTGTTTAATAATCAGTGGTTACAGATCAGGGTCTTCTCTTCCTGTCTTTGCTGTTTAATAATCGGTTCTTTCAATCGACCAATCTGAAATATCACACTCTGATATTTAATGTCTTTCAATCGACCAATCTGAAATATCACACTCTGATATTTAATGTCTTTCAATCGACCGATCTGAAATATCACACTGATATTTAATGTCTTTCAATCGACCGATCTGAAATATCACACTCTGATATTTAATGTCTTTCAATCGACCGATCTGAAATATCACACTCTGATATTTAATGTCTTTCAATCGACCGATCTGAAATATCACACTCTGATCGATCCATAACGTCTGTTGTGGAATTTAATAAACTAATATTTTAACGACAAATTTAAACAATGAAAGTGAATTTGTTTGTTTGTAGTTAAGCACAAAGCTACACGGTGGGCTATATATACTCTGCCCACCACGGGTATCGAAACCCGATTTCAAGCGTTGTAAGTACCCAGACATACCGCTGTGCCAATGAGGGGGTGGAGAGCATGAAAGTGAAGAGTATTAAAATAAAAAGTGAAAAAGACGTATAAAACCACCTCCACTGTCATCTCCACGGAAACCATCTCACTACAAGTTGTATCTGAAAGAGAGCACGAGTTGTGTTTCTTGGATAACTGCAGCTTTATGAGACATAATCCGAAATTAACGACGGTTAATGGTACTGATTACCACGTGACTGAAATTGGTAACCGTCTGACAGATGTTGAGCGGTTAATGGTACTGGTTACCACGTGGCTGAAACTGGTAACCATCTGACAGATGTTGAGCGGTTAATGGTACTGATTACCACGTGACTGAAACTGGTAACCGTCTGACAGATGTTGAGCGGTTAATGGTACTGATTACCACGTGACTGAAACTGGTAACCGTCTGACAGATGTTGAGCGGTTAATGGTACTGATTACCACGTGGCTGAAACTGGTAACCATCTGACAGATGTTGAGCGGTTAATGGTACTGATTACCACGTGACTGAAACGGGTAACCATCTGACAGATGTTGTGCTGTAATTATATTACGCAATGACTGATGAACATTACATAAATCAGATTATATTTACATTGTTTCCCCCTTTGAGCTGACATGTGCTGCTCGTGCACTCGGTTACCCCTTCCATGGACATTTACTCAATCTGCTTGTTATTCACCAGCCTATCTCTTCCTTCTTGGTAATATTTTCTTTTCATTAACTACGTAAGATAAAATCGTGAATTTACAAGGTATGACGTACTCTGTAATTCGCTTCCACCTCAAAAGTAAATATTATAAAAAAACTTTCAAAATATGGACTTTAGTATGAACACTAAACACACACGTATTTATACAATAATGGAACTAATTACGAGTTATAGTAGTGGACTTATTACTTATACACATCATTATCATAGTGAATACGAATGGAAATCGAACAAGTTACCGAATTCACGAAAATTTTGTATGTTGTCTTATGGTTTATCATCGTACGATTGTGGAGTATTGTTCCAAATGTATTACTGTCACAGTTCAGCTAGGCTGTTTGATGACCTTTTGACCTTTGTTTGATCACCTTTTGACCCTCAAGGATATTCGTATTGGAAATTTGTGAAGGCCAAGTTTCATCGGCATCGTTGTCCTGCTAGAAGATGAATCCCCAGCTCGAGAAGTTGTGTCATAATAGATCTGAATGAGCCTGTATTTATCAGCTGTTAGGGTGCCATCAGTTTTGTGTAGATCAGCGTTGGCTGAACTTGTACTCTTCTTCCACTATACTTTACTGTAGGTGTTGTACATTTAACTATGATACCATTCTCCTGTCCACACGGTAAACAAACAGTCTTTGATTTTTGATGGACAATTCGAACTTTGATTCAGCTGTATCCTGGGGGTTTAACATCGTTTGTCTGTTATCCTGGGGTTTTAACATCGCCGTTGAAGAATTTCGATTTTCTATCTTGAACACTTTTATTATCAGCAGTGCCAGTTTCACGTACCCTCGTCAGTTTTCAACACAGTGCCCACTGAAACACCGAGTCATGTCGCAAGTTTCAGTATGGAGTATCTTATCTTTGTAGAACCAAACATGTGATTTTTACACTCGCCATGCCATATTTCAGTCATAGGAGCCATGACTAGAATCATACTATTACTACTACTGGGTATAGTATGACTATCCGCACTTTTATAGACATTATACTGGTGTGGCATTTTCTGATTGGTTGGATGACAACCAATCACGGTATTAACTATAAACACATGACTGTAATTTATTTCCCGGCTAAAAATTGGCAATAGTTACAACAGAATAATAGCTCATTTCTCATGAGTCTCAAAACATTGGGATTACAACTGACAATACTGCATGTTGACGAGAGTGTAGAAATAATAGAAATTAGTATTCATTAGATAAAACAAAATCTGTCTGAAACTATATGACAGCCTGATTTATATATATAACATATCACGTACTTACTAATGTGTATTTATTAAAATTGAATGTTTCTTTTGTTTTGTAATGCTCTCTTATCTGTGAATAAAATTATATTCATTTGAATTCTAAATTTTTATTGTAAAGACTGTATTCAATTACATTTTAATATTTGTTTTCAGCTTTTAATAATCAGCTCAATCAAAAATAATGAAGTCCCTGTGTTCTAAATATGCACAGTAATGACATCAAAGAAACAAAGTTAACCCTAATTCTATGGAAAACTACTCTAAACGAAACAATCTTAATAGTAACTCTGTACAAAACTGTCTCAAAAAACAAAATTATAATCCTAACACAACGCTAAAATTAAAGTAACTAAACCTAATCCTATCTCTGTAACAAAATGAGATCAAAGAAAAAAATCTTAATTCTAAATTTGTACAACACTGACCTCAAAAAAAAGAATTCTAACCCTAACACGATGCTAAAATCAAAGAAATATCTTATTCTAGCTTTGTACAATACTGCCTTCAAAGAAATAATTATAGCCTTAACACAACATTCAAATCAAAGAAACGAATGTAACCATAGCTCTCCACAAAACTAAGATAGTCTTAAATCTGTCCAAAATGACTTCGAAGAAACAAGTCTAACCCTAACAACGCTCAAATCAAACAAACCTAATCCTAGCTCTATACAATACTGACTGTATGTATAAAACTAATGTCAAATCCAATTTTAATTCTGCCTAACAGTAACATATAATACATACATATAAACCTACACAAGATTAATATTAAATAAATAATTCTGACTATAACCTACTTAGTAGCCAACTACCGTCAAAGAAACCAGCCTTACTCTAAGTATAACATTACAAAAAACAACAAGAAAACGTAACTCTCTAAAACATTAGTATCGGGAAATAAAGCTAACCCTAACTTTTCACAATGGTAAGATCACAAAAAAGAAACGTAACCCTAACTCTGGAAAACATTAGCATCAGGAAATAAAGCTAACTTTTCACAAACGTCAAGAAAAAGAGGAGTGGAGAATTTAACCTGTTTGTCTCTAATCCAATAGCACGCTAAAATCAAAAGTCCTTGCAGACAACTTGCTGTGCAGAATGTGTATCCAGCGGTGATGGAATGCTTTTGTTGGAACCACAACCATGATCCACAAGTTAGGCAGGTCACCACCAGGATCGCTGAAGACTGTAAACTCCATTCTCTACAAATAAATCTAGCAGTTAGTGATCTTACTAGTATTTTTATAAATACGATAAATTCACACTCTCCAAAACGAATGAATAAAACAGGTATTTGAAAATTATTGATAGAAACATTTGTTTGTTTGTTTGAAATGAAGCACAAAGCTACAGAATGGGCTATCTGTGCTCTGCCCACTACGGGTATCGAGACACGGTTTCTAGCGTTGTAAGTCCGTAGACATGCCGCTGTGCCACTAGGGGGCATTTATAAAAAGAATCATCATTAAGTACTTTTCAATCAGAACGGTATATTATTCCATAAAATGCCTAAACCTAGTGTTCAGGTATAACCATATCTAATCTTGAACTATTAACCGTAGATAGAGTTGTCAACCATCAGCACCCTCTGCCACAAGGGCACTGTCCGGCTTTTTTGAACCGAAAATGAGACTGACTGTCACTTTTATAATGCAGCCTGAGCTGAAAAATGTGGATCGTGTTAAGGGGCATCGCGTCTCAAACCTGGAGTCTTACGTCCGCGGCCTGATACGCTAACGAAACCAACGACTTATCCTGTAATGTGACTTACCTGTACTGGACTGTTATGTTCAAATGTTCGTTTTTGGCTCTCCCCGAGTTCCTTACGAAATGACTCTGTAGTATTATGTGGATCCCCAGGGAAACCTGAAATATAAACACAACAATTAGGAGACTTGTAAGTCGTGTCCAAAACACAGAAAAATGAACTTCCTGGTGGCGAAGAAAGTAGTTGAACTAGCGCATCTATGATAGTAAAACTACAAATGATGTGTTGCTTTCGTAATAATTCTGAAAGCCTAGACGGAGGTTACGCCCTCTGTAAATATTTTATATTTCAAGCAACAGAACGGAACTATATGTAAGAGAATGAAGCACGTGGTTACGCATTCGTTATTTCACATTCCAGGGTTGCTCAAAGACCAGTTTTTGGAAAAAGTACTTATTATACTTAAAACTAAATAAGCCACCAAATGTAACCATTATTGTCTTATGTCGAGTTTATTTAAATGAACATTACATTAGCAGCACATGAAAGTTTTAATTACGTAAGAATGTCGTGTTTACAAAGTCTGAATTGAAATTAATTTGAAGGTCGTGTTAGTGTTTTTTTCTTTCGTTATTTTACCTTCTCATCTGCTTTTCCACTTTCAGAAATACATCATTCTATTTCGTTTCGGGTTCAAACGTAATGTGGTTACGTTGTAATGGTTCTACAAAAACAGTTATCTTGTCTTTGTGGTACGGTCGGGAGAGTTATAACATGGTAGTTTAAAACAGCTACTGAAACCGACCCGGGCAACATTCCTCACCTTTCTTATTTTCGAGTCCTTGCGGTGGGCAGAACGCAGACAGATGTGTAGCATTGCGCTGAAAGAAACAATCCCACCTAAAATCAGTATTAATGATATCTTTTTGGGTATCGTTGGATGTTAGGATCCTAGTTCTCGAATCGTTAAGTAGTTTCTGAAATAAGGGCGGCCAATGAGAAGCAGGTACGACACTTATCCAAAACTGATGCGGTACATGGGGGTGAAAATTATCCTGTTAAAGCAATAATCAGAGTTGACAACATCAAAAACCTTGTCTGTAGTTTCTGTTTAACAGAATAAGGTCATCATAGCTTTGTAGGACCTACACGTTAGCTATAATTTCGCTTTCTTCCGAGTTGTTGAATTAAACATGTACATGTTAGGTAAAAAACAAAACATTCCAAATATACTGGTAAATGTGTGGGTTTTTAAAGCTAAAAATCGGGTTTAGATACCCGCGATGGGCAGATCACATATGGTTATTTAGTAGCTTTGGGCTTAACAACAAACAAGCAATGTTTATCATTTCAATTTGCAAAACAACTTACAAAAATTAAAAGATAGAAAAAAGAATAATCAGCGGTAAGTTTGCAGACTTACACCTCTAAAATTCGGAGGAGGTAAAATTCCAACCAAAGTCACCTGTTATTTTTCATGGGCCATTAAGCTACGGCCTAAAACTATCTTCAAGAAACTAAAAACTAGACCCCACATATCCTGTACTCTGGAACATTGGAAAGACAAATGAGCAATAGTTTCTCGATCCACACAACATAAGCCCGTCGGATGATGAAACATATGAACCAACTTAACATTGGTGGTCACAGCATGATGCCAAATAAGGTAATCTAAATTACAATACTGATAACCAGCAAAAGAATTAAAACAACCTTTCCAAATAATTTCAGTTCGAATCACCTCAGAATGTCACGCTTGTGTTCGTGTATAGCTAAGTTTGTGATTTGTTCTGCTCGTCGTAAGGTTCTATCACGTGGTGTTGGTGTTCATTTTGTGAATATCTTTAAAGCTCAACTTAAAGCTAAAATTCATTTCGATTTTTTACGGTTTCGGTTAGGAGACAAATTGTCAGATTTTTATAATATTTATCGCGACTCTGAGCATTTGGTAAGTAAAGGTGTTCAGGGTTACATCCTATGTCGTGATTTGGTATGATAATTTGGTTTGATTTTTTTATGTTTATCAGTTTAGATCATTTTAGTTTTATTAAGTTTAGTAACATTTTTTGTTTGTTTGCTATTACTAATTTTGTGTGTGTGTAATTTAATGAATTAACCTTTACTATTTTTTTCTTACTATCCAGATTTGTAACGACATTTTCATGAGATGTGTTGAATCACTGATGTATTTTTGTTTACTACCCCCCCCCCCCTCTATGAGGGTGGATTAATAAAGAAAAAAAAACTCTGATTATACGCCCAATAAAAGTTCAGAACAGTAATAACATGTATTTATTCCGAGACACGAGCACTAGGCCTAAAAATGATGGCGATAATAAGCTGTAAGGGAAAAAAAGAAACATCCAATCCTGAGATGATAAAAAAGAAGGAAACTCTTGCAGTAATATAATATTATAACCACCTTATCTATCCAGAATAATATTGAAGCGTATTATTAAAGCTTTCAAACGCTGTCAAATAGCATACTACTAAAATCAAGTGATCAAAGAACATCATTTTAAATTGGAATTTAAAGGTAATTTATTTTAAAACACCAAAACTAACGAAGAATTTCAGCCTTTTATTTTTCAAGTGTCCGATTTTAATGAAATACTAACTTGCCCATTATTTTCTATTCGATAAACGTAGTAAATTCTACATGAACAGCACGTCATACTGCACGTTGGTTAAAAGGCCAAGTTAGAGACCCCAGTGTGCATCCTTCTTAATTTTGAACTGCTGACTAGAAAGAAAAAACAGACAGGTATCAGTGCCACTCTTAACTGAATAGCGGAACTGACTGCCAGTCTTATAACACGTTCGTCTGGAAGCCCGAAGTGTGTTCACCAGCATATCGTGGCTTCGGACCTTCCCATAAGAAGGCCGGTATGCTAACCACTAGGTCACTATCCAACTGTTGCAAATCTATTATTTCGCGAAACTCTTTATAAGTTGGACGTTTTGAGATAATGAAACGTTGGCTACAAGTTAAAAAATGAATTAGTATCTTTAAGTATTCTGAGACTGATAATATCAGTAGCACACTCTATGTTCTACCAGAAGATAATTTAAATGGAACTACTTACTAAGGCGCACATTGAAGCAGGAACAATAACGCTATAAATAACGTATCCTTCCGCCAGCCCACAATAATTTTCACACAGATACCCAGAGGGGTTCACACCCACAGCCACTCCAACAATAACAACAGGAACAACGTAACCGGATCCACAATACCAGCCAAACCATGACTGACCAGTATCACGAACAACGAGCAGTAAGTGGACAGCGTCCACTAGGGTCCACACAAACACTTCCAACAGAAAATAGTGCAGCAATCCGACCACCACGAAACAAGCTATCTTTTTGCTGATGTCCGCTTCGCTCTGGACGAGCATCATAACCTCTGCCAACAAAAAAAAAGCACCGATGTGTTTGTGTACGATGTTAAAGTTCTGCTGAAGATCTCTGTAAACGAAATAAATTTACAAGTTAGTCGTAAAATGGCCATTGTTGTTTTTCTAACTATGGAGATCATTGTTTTAATAAACAAACTAAAACAGACTTACTGGTTAATATTGTTGTTTTTCTAACTATGGAGATCATTGTTTTAATAAACAAACCAAAACAGACTTACTAGTTAATATTGTTGTTTTTCTAACTATGGAGATCATTGTTTTAATAAACAAACTAAAACAGACTTACAGGTTAATATCGTTGTTTTTCTAACTATGGAGATCATTGTTTTAATAAACAAACTAAAACAGACTTACTGGTTAATATCGTTGTTTTTCTAACTATGGAGATCATTGTGAGAAAAACAACAATATTAACCAGTAAGTCTGTTTTAGTCTGTTTGGTGTATATTTAAAACAATGATCTCTATAGTCAGAAAAACAACAATATTAACAAGTATGTTTCATTGTGTTTGGTGTTTATTTAAAACAATTATCTCTATAGTCAGAAAAACAACAATATTAACCAGTAAGTCTGTTTTAGTTTGTTTATTAAGACTGTAGGGATCATTGTTTTAAATAAACACTAAACAGACCAAAACATACTTACTTGTCAATATTGTTGTTCTTCTGACTATAGAGATCATTGTTTTAAATAAACACCAAACACACTGAAACATACTTACTGGTTAATATTGTTGTTGTCCTGTCTATAGAGATAATTGTTTTAAATAAACACCAAACACACTGAAACAAACTTAATGGTTTATCCAAATGAAACTAAATTATAAATAAATAGATAAATAAAAACACCGTTCTTATAATAGTCAACATTTTCTTTAAATAATTTTGGTCATAGTAATCTATATATAATTAAATTATTTCACTGCTTCTTTTTTTTTTACTAGAAATAGTGAAACCAAAGGGAGAAATATTTATTGCCAATATCCAGACAATTCCCATTATGTATATTTCGTGGACTTATGTTGAAGTTTAAGACGTTCTTCTGCGTGGTTTGTTCTGACTCTCACCTGACTAGGAATAAGACTGTTAAGGTTACTGCTAAACAACCGATTGATACTGCGCATCCACACCAGATGGCGATGCTCGGAAAGACGTCCGGTTCATCTACCTGTACAAACATTTTCCATATGTAGCGTTACTTAAATCAGGATTTTCCAACTTATGAAATAAACTGACGTCATTGGCAAATAAAAAATATAAATAATTCAAAAGTTACTATGATATAATTTATATAAATATTATGTACTTTTATATCAACTGACGGTTATTTTGAATTGTCAGCCTAGTATTTGGACATCGAACTAGGCTTAGTTTACTGAAACCGTATTCAACATGGCGGTTCTTCCACTCAACTTTCATGAAAGTGTACTGAAACCGTATTCAACATGGCAGTTTTCTACTCAACGTTCGTCTAAGTGGAATGAAACCGTATTGAACATGGCAATTTTCCACTCAACGTTCGTCTAAGTGTACTGAAACCGTATTGAACATGGCGGTTTTCCATTCAACTTTCCTCAAAGTGTACTGAAACCGTAACTAACATGACAGTTTTCCACTCAATGTTCGTCTAAGTGTACTGAAACCGTATTGAACATGGCGGTTTTATATTCACCTTTCATCAAAGTGTACTGAAACCATATTGAACATTCGTTTAAGTGTACTGAAAGGAAACCGTATTGAACATGGCAGTTTGCCACAAAATGTTCGTCTAAGTGTACTGAAACCGTATTGAACATGGCGGTTTTCCACTCAACATTCGTCTAAGTGTACTGAAACCATATTGAACATTCGTTTAAGTGTACTGAAAGGAAACCGTATTGAACATGGCAGTTTGCCATATAATGTTCATATAAGTGTACTGATACCATACTGTACAATTACAGAAAAACTGGACTGCTCATGTAATCTTCGTTTTAGTTTGATGTAATACAGAAATAAAAATTATAAACTTTAGTACTGGAATACATTGTAGGCCCGTGATTTATAAAAAACAGCAAAATAACAAGCGAATTATTTCACCTTAAATGATGACGTCACTTCCATCAGCAAAGCGAAATTGGTCAGATGATTGCAAAGACATATGGTGTGGGAAACGTTCGTGGACTTCACCCAACACCCTTCTTGAGACCAAACACTGAAGAAAGATTAGATTTAGTATTCAAATATGACGTTTCTTATTTATACATATATTTTAAGGTTACCTTTGAAAACACGGGATTTCTTTTAAATCAAATGCATTAGACTAAACGTTTATTACACCCACACAATGATAAAATTAACATTAGGAGAATAATACAAAAATGTCAAAGGTTGCTTTGTCTGACAGAACGATAACAACCGTACTGAGCTACTAGATCATACAGGTTTTACAGAGTTACTAGATCTTACAGAGTTACCAGATCTCACGGAGTTACCAGATCATACAGAGTTACTAGATCATACAGAGTTACTAGATCATACAGAGTTACCAGATCTTACAGAGTTACTAGATCATACAGAGTTACTAGATCATACAGAGCTACTAGATCATACAGAGTTACTAGATCATACAGAGCTACTAGATCATACAGAGCTACTAGATCTTACAAAGTTACTAGATCATACAGAGTTACCAGATCTCACGGAGTTACCAGATCATACAGAGTTACCAGATCTTACAGAGTTACTAGATCATTACAGAGTTACTAGATCATACAGAGTTACTAGATCATATAGAGTTACTAGATCTTACAGAGTTACTAGATCATACAGAGTTACTAGATCTTACAGAGTTACTAGATCATACAGAGTTACTAGATCTTACAGAGTTACTAGATCATACAGAGTTACTAGATCTTAACTCTGTATGATCTAGTAACTCTGTATGATCTAGTAACTATGTAAGATCTAGTAACTCTGTAAGATCTAGTAACTATGTAAGATCTAGTGATCTAGTAACTCTGTTCTGTGTAACCTGGTAGGACTGTAAGATCTAATAACTCTATGTGATCTAGTATCTCTGTATAACCAACCTGGTAGGACTGTAAGATATAATAACTCTGTGTGATCTAGTATCTCTGTAAGATCTAGTAACTATGTAAGATCTAGTAACTCTGTATGATCTAGTAACTCTGTATGATCTAGTAACTCTGTATGATACTAGATCAACAGAGTTATTAGATCTTACAGTCCTACCAGGTTACACAGAGATACTAGATCACACAGAGTTATTAGATCTTACAGTCCTACCAGGTTACACAGACTAGTAGATCTTACAGATTTACCAGATCTTACAGTCCTACCAGGTTACACAGAGATACTAGATCACACAGAGCTACTAGATCTTACAGAGTTACTAGATCATACAGAGTTACCAGATCTTACAGTCCTACCAGGTTACACAGAGATACTAGATCACACAGAGCTACTAGATCTTACAGAGTTACTAGATCTTACAGAGTTATTAGATCTTACAGTCCTACCAGGTTACACAGAAATACTAGATCATACATCTTAACTGTTCTTTCCTTCTAGATTCAAACCTCTAATTGAAACTGCCGATAATTAATATTTGATATGAAAATATAATAAAAATAAAGTATCCTTTGCTCTTCTTATTTCAAATCAAGCATATATAATGTTTAATATAGGTAAACATATTACATATTCACATGCTATTTCTCGTTGGTGACCAATCAGAATGTTGGACATACCATAAAAATGGCATACTGCACACGTGTTGTCTATTCAACTCAGCCTACTAGATCTTACTATAATGTTTAATATAGGTAAACATATCACATATTTACATGCTATTTCTCATTCGTGACCAATCAGAATGTCGGACATACCATAAAAATGACATACTGCACACGTGTTGTCTATTCAACTAAGCCTTACTTTTCCCCATATTAAGTAATATACAACGATTTATTTAAATTGACTAAATCATAATTATGAGCCTAATAAATAAACGTAATAATTAATGTTAATTTTTAGCTGGATCAAGGATACTGTTTAATGTTTTTTTTTTCTTGCTTTAGGAATGAATATTTTATCTATTCGTGAAATTTATTGTTTTGTGTTCCACATCAACATATATATATTGTCGTGTTTCATTTTTCTTTGTGTTAAATAGCAGAGCAGTACTGACTGAAATAACTTCGTGAAGTTGCTGACACACACTGACTTCAGTTAATTTGTTAAAGTACAAAAAGCGTTTTCACCTTGATGATGCATCCCAGAACACACAGCGGGGATTTGTCACGTTTTCCTCCTAGCGGAAAAAGAGAAAAATTAGCACTGGTATATAGAATCCTCACCCCCCTTTAATTATCTGAATAAAAAAACATAAATAAAAGAAAAGAACCTAAACTGGTTTTAAACAAGTTTGGCTTGAATGATAATGACGAGCCGAACAATTGAGTTCTGTCTTTCTTCGCAGAAACAAAGTGAAGTAACAATTTCGAAGTTATTAAAATTCAAGCCTGAAAAAAAAAAAATTAGTCATAAATCTTAATGATGACGTGTGATTGGTCGAGATCAAACTAACCTCGTGCCCTAATATGTAGAGAGACACCAAGAGCAACGCTTAACGTTTCTTTTGACAGATAATAGTTGTTGTTGGTTCAGCTACGTTTGGAACAGACAAACAGACATCACGTGGTACAGGAGGAGCAATACGGCTCTCAGGCTGCTGCTCTGTGGTGTAGTGCAACTAACTCAATCACATCGTTAATATCCCGAGCGGTGTTTAGATAAACTCCGAAATCCATTTGTCTAGGTTAGAGCTGATAAGAGACCAGCAATCCTCGAAATTACTGACTATACTGAAGTGTGTGCGCATTAACACTTAACTTGTACTACCCATATTGGTCTTATTGACCAATGACCTGACTTGTATATAACTCCACAATATCACGATAGAAACACTGACCAGAACTTAAAAACATCACGTGAGGTACGATAGTAAAATTACGATTAAAAAAAAAGTCTTGATTTGGTTGTTGTTAAACACAACGCTACACAATGGGGTATTTGTACTCTGCCCATCACGGGTATCGAAACCTGATTTTTAGCATTCTAAGGCTACATACAGTCGTACCGCTGAATCAATGGGGGCAAAATATTGGTCTTATGTACAGAGACAATTTATTTATTTACATGTGCAAAGCTATAAAATGGGCAATTCGTGCTGTGCCCACCGCGAGCATCGAAACCCAGTTTTAGCGCTACAAACCCTCATGCGCCAGGGGGCGTAAAAATATACTTTGCTTTAATGAAACATACATCACAACTTAACCTCAGGTTTACTGATGTGAGCCCAGACCCGATCGGCTTTTGAAACATTTTTCTAAACTGTAGTCACTAGATTGCTGTTGGATCCGTAACTTTGGTCGTTACACGACCCCTAATGAAATACCACAGACAAAAAAAAATAAACAAAAATATCATCAATATTTCAGTCAGTCCCACTAATAAATGCTGGGGACCCCTAGGTATTTTACATAGAAAAATATAATTTCACCCAGTATTTTTTATTCTTTTTGGGTCAATTCTTTACGCTGGGTAATGAAAGAATAACAAGAAAACAACAACAACAACAACAACATACAATTGTTGCGTATGATGCACTGTGTGGATCCATCGGTAGTGAACACATAATAAAAGTCAGTCAGCGTATGATGCACTGTGTGGATCCATCGGTAGTGAATACATAATAAAGTCAGTCAGCGTATTATGCACTGTGTGGATCCATCGGTAGTGAATACATAATAAAAGTCAGTCAGC